CACCTGTTTTAATTTTTACATTAAAAGTAAATACAATGCAATTGCAATGAAATTATATGAATATTTTAAAAGTCTTATTATTAACGGTTGTTAAAATGAATACTTTAAATTGATAGTTTATACTTTTCAAGCCTTATTATTGTTATTGTTGTTGTTATTATTATTATTATTATTAAAATACGTATTTATGTTACAACTTCATGCTCTAGAATCAAGCAACATTCATATTCATGAAAGTAAAATTATAACTTTAATAGTAAATAAGATTAAAAAGAAAACTTACATTCATTGGTGAAAAATTCTATTAATAAGTTTTAGATGTGCAAAAACTGAGGGAAAAAAAAGTTGCAAATTCTATTGTTGTTGTGTCGATACGTTGATCCTCTTCTTCAACTTGTATTAACACCTTTATGTCCTTCCCCGTTCTTATGCATTACTCCATGGTGTCCCAAGATCCAGATTTTTTAAAAAGTTAGCTTACATAATTTTATTTATTTTTATTTAAAGATGATCGAGATTTCTGCTTTCAAGAGTCTATGATGCATGAATCTCTCCCCGAAGACATCAATCATTTTGTCAATCTACGGGCTTTTGGGGCAATTTTTTGGGTTTGGGGTTTTTAACATTATGAATAGATTTATTAGGATTTATAAAATATTTTATCTTTATTTTGAGTTTGAATAGGTTAAAACACTAGCTTTTGGGTAAAAAAAACTTAAATTTTTATTTTAAATTATCAAAGTAATTAAAATCTAGACAAATTAAATGATGTATCATCTAAATTTTTAAGAATAAATTTTGAATTGAATCACATGTTATTCTTCCTAATTATGAAAAATAATAATTAAAGACCTAATTATGCAGGTCTACTAGACTCTAATAAAATAGATCAGGTAGGCTAACTTGACCTTTGATTTTTTTTTTTAATATATTTTAAAAAATTAATGATTCTTTTCTTAATGGTTTTCTCTCCAAATGTTTTTAATTTATATTTAAAGTAGAACTCTTTTTCTCTTATATCTTATTTGGAGAGCCTCTTTTAAATGATGATTATTTTTTAGTTATATATTTAAATTTGAAGATTTTTTCTCATTTATCTATAATTTTTTTGTATGGATGGAATTTATTTTTAAAAATAAAATAAAAATTATTTTCAAATAATATTTCTAATAGACACCTTGCATGATTTTTCCTCATTTTATTTTATTCAATGAATTTAATTTATATTTATATTACTATTATTGTTTACTTAAATAAAAAATATTTTAATAAATAAATTTTACAAAAATAACTAGAAAAATATCCTATTTTTTAAAATTAAATAAATTTTGAAGATCATTGTAGTAGTCTTTGTGTTATTACGTGGACCTCCAAATTTTTAAAGATAAAAATCTCATACCTCCCGATTTTAATAATTTTAAGATTTTTTTTATTTTTAAAATTGATCAAAAAGTTAATATAACTAGAATAAACTAATATACTGATTAATACAAAAATTAAAATTTGACCGTTGCACGTTATAGAAGCTAACCACCACGAAACACATGTCAAATCCCACCCAACAGCTAGCATATCTCCCAGTGCAGTGCAAAGACAGGACTAACAAGACTGTTGAGTCGGCAATGCAAGTAATGCGCAATTATGGGCCCACCACGTCGCCAGTTCAAGAAGAAGCTCAATGTCAGGGAATTAGCGTGCCGCCAGCCGCCATGAAGAAAATAAAGCTGGAATCCAGACGCCCGAGGAAGACCGTTGATGAAGGACACCGAATGAATTGATGGGTGAGGGTCCATCCACACCGCCCCAATACTGAACAGAACAGCTTCCAAGCAACAGCCAGAGGCCAGGTCGAGAAGAAGCATAGACGAAAGATAACGATTACAATCCACAGTTCTCCACATATTTTAGTGTTTTCTCTGTGGTCTGTAATACTTTGAAAGCCAATCACTTGTTTAAAAATATACCTCCGAATAAAAATACAATGATCACATATTCAGTGGTTGTGATCAAAAAACTGAATTGTATAGATGAATATTCATTTTGATTACAATTTCTGTCAATAAACAGAACGAGAAACTCTAACATGCCTTCAAAAATTCCAAAAGCGCAGTCTTACAATGCTTATTTCTAATAAAGCATTTTCCTTTCTTCCCGAGACTGTTCCTATTTTACTTCGCTCAAAGCAGATGCAATGTATCTTGATTTGAGGATGTGCAGGAGTAATTCTAACCATGGCTGGATTTTATAATTAGTTAAATAAACTATAATTAAGTTATATTATGCACACGTATGTATAAACAATGGCTGGATTTGAGGGTTTTTTAGAGTAACATTTGTTTTTTAATGTTTTTTTTAAATACATCAAAATAATGATATTTATTTATTTTTAAAAAATTATTTTTAACTTCAACACATAATTTTTTTAAAAAAACACAAAAAATATTAAATCTAAAATAAAAAATATTAATTTTTTTAAAATATACTTTTAAATCACAAAAAGATGCTAATATTTTTTATTCAATGTATACATGCTTCATGTTTATAAAAAGGTCTCTTTCATCCATGGCATACTAGTTAATCAAATTGAATCAATGCTTATCAAGTGGCCATTCATATATTGGCTAACGTGCTCTAGGTTCCCGTGAACTTTTGATGTCCTTTTCATACAAGTGACCCTTCATGGAAATAAATAAATAAATAAATATATTTTTTCCCCTAAAATTACAACTACTCTTACAAGTTGGTTTCGATTATTAAAGACTATTTTTTAATAAATAAAAAGTAATGAAGTTTAAGTTGCAATAAAAGAAGTGTTTTTTTAATCACTTTCGCTAAAAAAATTAATTGTAGAAAAATGTTACTGTACATTAAACAGGTGTTTCAGAACTACATTGTATCAAAATCTTTTTTTGTTCTTCTAAATAATCTTAAAGGAAAAAACCACTTGTACTATTTTAATGCATTAAATAAAATAATTTTTGGCTGAAGGTTGCTTGAAAATCTAAACTTTTTTTAAATTAACAAATCCTTTTTGTATTCAAATACAAATAATCTTAAGAGGTATTTTTGTTTATTAGCATCATTTGGAAAAAAAAATATTGGCTAAATAACACATGTACAAAAAATTTTGATGAGATAATACAATTTAATACATATCACAATTGAAAAACACGATATTTTAATATAAAACTATTGAAAAACATGATATTTCAAATAAATTATTAAATGAACTAGCATCAATCACAATGAGAAAAGATGAGAGAGAAAAAGATAGAGAAAGAAAAAGAAAATGAGAGAGATTTAAAAGACACACTAAAATTTTAATTGCAGTGTAACCTATGTCATAAAAAAATCTCGACAAAATAAATCCAATGACATTAAAAAATATTTCTAATAATAATCAAAGTAGACCACATTCTTCATCAAAGACAAATGAATAATTACAATAAGAAGAAAAAAAAAATACTCTCGATGTCATGTTGAAATTTTGATCATGACACCACTAGTAATATAAAAACTAATTCGTCAAGATAAATTTAATGATTTCAAGAAATGTCACCAACGATAATCAGAGTACGTCACATATGAAAAACAACTCACTTGTATTTTGTGAAAAGTGTAGCTCACTTCAATCATTATTAGTGATAATATTAATGATATCATAATTAAAATTTTAATATATCTACGACATCTTTTTTATGTTTTGTTTCTCTCTCCTTTATTCTCAACTTGATTTTTACCTACTTATTTAATTTTTTTAATATTCTATTATTTTCATCAATGATAATTTCAGATGTGTTTTTCAATGGAAACATGTATAAAAATTTATTAATTGGCCAAAAATTGTTTCAATGTGTTATTTAACTTTTTTTTAATAGTAATTGATTTAAAAAAATCTTAAGAAAATACTAGTAAAGGTGAGCAAAAAAAATAAAAAAACCAATTAAAAAGAGAAAACAAAAAAAAATAACTGAAAAAACTAAACTGTGAAAAAACTGATCTCAATTAAAATTTTAAAAAAACTGATTGATTTGGTTAAGCTTTATAAGATTGAAACTGAAAAAATCAAACTGAATAGAACCAAAACAGAAAAAACCAAGCCAAACTGGTTTTTTTTTAAAAAACTAAACTAAACCGAAACCGGTCTATTTGAACTTGTTTTTTTTTGTTTAATTTTTTTAAAAATTTTAATTTAATTATTTTTTTAATAAAAATCAAATCGAATATAAAATAATTATTTGTAGCAAATAGCATCCAGATATCTTAAAAGTATATTATTACATCATCAAAAACGTTATCAGAAACGTTTCCATTAATTCGAACTTTTTATTGCCAATTTGCCTATGTTGATAATTATACACCACGTCACCAACATGTATATTTTCTTTCTTTCTTTATCAATTATTTTCTTTTTCTAACTCTTTTGATACAGTTCTTTTGCCGCTATATAAATTCACAGCTCTTATTACAGTAGCATTGAATCAGAACCTTTTTTTTCTTGTATGAGGGAAGTAAAGAGAGTGAAGAAATGAGCGAACGCAGCCCGCCAACAGCTGCAGGCAAAGGTTATGGCATGCCCGCCTCAACTTCCTTTGCTAAACACCCGCTGCCACGGGGGCAGACCAAGAACAAGTTATTACTCGGGGTACTCCAATTCTTATCAGCGTCATCAAGCTCGAAAAAGTGAAGGCTTTTGAAATAATTGAAAGAATGGGAGACGTCATTTTCTTTCAATTGATGGAAATTTCCCTCTGTAGCACTATGTAATAAAAATCCATGGGCTTCATGGGTTTTGTTTTTCAGAAAGGTAGTGGGATGCCTTGTATTATGTAATTGTTTCGTCATCGAGTTTTAGCTTAGTTTCACTTGCCTTGCTCTTTCTATTGCTACTATCTCAGTTTTTCTCCTTGGTTGCTCTCATTATCCATCTGTTGCACTATGTAATAAAATCCATGGGTTTCATGGGTTTTGTTTTTTAGAAAGGTAGGATGCCTTGTATTATGTAATTGTTAACCCCTTCGTCATCTAGTTTTGCCTTAGTCTCCCTTGCCTCGCTCTTGCTCTTGCTCTTGCTCTTGCTCTTGCTACTGCCTCAGCTTTTCTCCTTGGTTGCTCTGATTAGCTGTCCAAGGTATCTGATAATATGGCCTGAGTAATTATCAGGGGGGAAAGTGTTAAACTTTCTTGCTTTGCTTTAAAATATTTTTGAAAATATTTAAAAATGTTTTCTTTTAAATTATGTTTTTATTTTTTTAATTATTTTAATGTGATAATATAAAAATATATATTTTAATTAATATTTTAAGTAACACACTCACACGCCAAAAAAATAAAATACAATAAAAAAATATATACAGATTAATTACTTTTAAAATGTTTTTTTTTCAATTTTACAAATGTTTCATATATAGAAAATCTAGTTTAACTCAATATATTATCTTATTAATAATAAAGCCTTAAATATTTAAAATATTTTATTTAATCAATATTACCTAAACATTGTTGACATTAATAATTAGGAGTGGTAGTGGATATAGTGGGTCCAATCTAATTTTAGATATTTTATAAAATATAAACATGATTTATTCATTTTTTTATTCTATTGAGTTAGATAAATATACGGGGCTGGGTTAAAATTTTTGTGAATATCATATATATTTTTGGGTTAAAAATATCAAATTTTTTTTATGATCTTAAAACAATATCAAGTTGGAATTGTTAGAATTAAATTAGACCTTTAAAATACATATATTAAAGATAATATAAAAATTATTATAATTTTTATATAAAAAAGAAAAAAATCACAATTAAGTATTTTATCAAATAATTAAGGTGTAACATAATATAAAAAAAGACTAGTAAAATGATATAAAAAACCAGTAAAAAAATTATAAAGTATTTTTGGGTTTGTAATTTGACTAGAAAAATAAAAGTTCAATCAAGATTTTTAAAATTTTCATTTTTTTATTAAATAAAAAATATTAAAATTATAAAATGTACTTTAAAAAAACACAATTATAATTTTTGTAAAAATTAGTAATAGAGAGAAGGGCAAGAGAATGAGAGTCAGATATTAGTGTGGAGGGGCAAAAAAATCGCAGTTTAGTTCCTCAATTTTTGTGTGCGTGAAACATATTATATCTTCTATTTAGTGCGTTAAAAAATAAATAAAATTTATTTAATTATTTATAGATTTTTCATTATTTTTCAAATCTAGGCAATTCCAAGGCTATTCGAATTAGGATGTAGGAGTAATTGTTTTTATTGTATTTGTTTTCAATATAATCCCTTATTTTTTACATTATTTAATTATTTAGTTTTATTTAATTTTTATATCAAATTTAATTCTTATTATTTTGAATATTTTTTTTCTAATTGATTTCTTTAATTTTTTTCTCCAATCTCTAATTTTAAATTAATTATATGTCAAATTTAATATTTATTATTTTCATTTCTATTTATTTTATTTTAGATTTTTATTAAAACTAATTACTTAGCATTTTGTTAATATAGAATTTTGCTATGTTATTTTTTAAGATTTGTTTTTTATAGGGTTGATCTAGAGCTCATAGCCAGGTCACAACTAACGAATTTCAAATGTTAACACGAGTTGACTTTGATTTTTTTTAAAAGAAATTTTAAATTGATTTTTTTTTCAATTTCTTTTTATAACATTTGATTTATTAGGATTTAACCTTTGTATTTTTTTTATAGAATTATCTTAATCTTGTATCTAGAATCGTAAGGTTAACAAGTTAAATTATATTTTTTCATTGCTTTTTTGAATGAATTGTTTTTTAATTTTGCTCTTGAATTTTAAATTGTATAATAATTAAATTTTATAATTTTATTCAGTTTTAAATTTTATAATTTTATTCAGTTTCTTCTTGATAAGCTTTATAGTTGTTTTTATGTTATTATTTTTTAATTTATTTATTATTACTGCATTTTATTATTCATATTATTTAAAATATTGGTACTAAAGATACATATTTAAAATTATTTAAAAAAAAAGGTTTGACACGCGAACGGTGTCATGATTTACAAATGTTATAGAAAGGTGTCATGATTTACAAATAAAAACTTAACAAATGTTATAGAAAGGTGTCATGATTTACAAAGGAATGGTCTGAAATTGTACTTAAAAATTAAATAAACAGGTACCCAGAATCTGGTCACCATACGGCACTTCTTATTACATCATCATCATCCTCCTTCGCCATGATGAATATTGATGTCAATAATTTGCACATTCTGTGGCCAAGTTGCAACTAAACCCGTCGGCTCTTGTTGATAAAGTTTAGGCACCAACGTGGTCCTTTCTTTGTCAATATATGCATTCAGCCATAATTTTATGTCCATATAAGCCAACCAGCTCAGGCCAAGGCTATGGCGTCTCCTCCTCTTCCAGCTTTGCTAACCTCCCGCCGCCAAGGGGCAACCAAGAACAATCCAGTCAAAGGATTGTGATGAGTAATTTACTATCAACCATAAAAAAAAATAAAGAAGAAGAGAAGAGACAAAAGTAGAAAGGATTTTATTTATTATTCTCTGCATAATCAAGAATAACCTATTGGTTATATTTTATTTATAGCCCACTAATTTGGAAAGTCAAAAAACATGCTCAAGGACGGGAAAGCACTGACAACATAAAACTAGCAATAACGAATTATCGTCCCACTACACTAATTTCTAACAACCATCAGTAATCAACAAAGATCCATTATTCAGACACCCTGTCGCGGGGTCTAGTTGTGACGTTGTTTAGCAATGGTAAAGGTTTTTTATCGTGACTTTTGTATAAAGTCATTTTTTAGGAATAATTTTTTTATTTGATTAAAAAATTATGATTAAGGTTTAAGTGTAATTATTTAATATTATAGTTATTAGAAATTTATGATCTGTTAGAATTTGGATAAAAAATTAATTATACAAAGAAAAAAAAAGACACATCATCTCCAGTGCACTCTACCTAAGGTAAGCTGCATTGTTATTTAATTGTTTTCTCTAAGTTAGGTTTTTATTTGTTGGTTTTTTCTAATATTTAATGTAGATCTCTCTTCATAAGAAAATTTCAATTGTATTGAGTTAAATATTAACTGTTTTAAAATCTAAATTTTAGTATCGTATTTATTTTATGTCTTGTATCTTTAATACCTAAAAGTATAATTTATCGTGTCATTTTACACTCCATAAATATTAAAGTCTATATTTGAACCCTAAAAAAATATTATAAAATGGTTTTTGATATTTTGACCAAAACTTAATAGATGATCATAAACTGGTTATAATATCTATTTTTTTAGATTTTCAAAACATGATAAAGATGCGATCTTTTTATGAAAATATACTTGAAAATTTTTTAGGATTTGGCTACATGCTTAAAAACAAAATATTTTTTTTAAAAAAAGGACAGTTAATTTAAAATATTTAAGATTTTTTGAAAATTTTTTGATTTTTTTTTTTAAATAATTGGGCCAATCTCGACCCAATGTAATCTTTCTTCTCTTTTTTTTTTGGGTAGGCCAGGCCGAATCAAGTCCGACCCATCATTTAAGTTAATTATTTGCAAAATATGAACAGTTATTGTTCACATTCTGCACCCAACCAAATGGTTGTAGAAGTTGGAGACAGGCGAAGGAGAAGACTATTGGGGTCTGTGATCATGATCGTGATCACGAGGTCGAGCTGATGGTGTTGCAAGGAGCGGTGGAAGAGCTGGCAGTTGTTGGCAGAGGAAGGAAAAAAAAAAAAAAAGAAAATGAGAGGGGTTGTAAAGAGGCGAGGGAAATCGATGGCGACTCTTGTTGGCTGGTCGGTGGTTGTTTTTCAGAAAGGTAGAATTCCTTGTATTATGTAATTGTTTTGCCATCGAGTTTCGGCTTAGTCTCCCTTGCCTTGCTCTTGCTATTGCTACTGTCTCAGCTTTTATCCTTGGTTGCTCTCATTATCCCTTTGTTGCACCATGTAATAAAATCAACGGACTTCATAGGTTTTGTTTTTCAGAAAGGTAGGATGTGAATATTTTCGTAAAAAATAAATTTGAAGAAGAAATTTTTATGTTATTTTTTTTCTTATTTATCCTTTATTATTATTTGCTTGTTTTTAGATGGAAGTAAAAAAAATTGCATGACATATTTGTATTTAATAGTAATAGTCCATAAATTTAGCACATCTACAAAAAATACAAACACGAAGAAAAAAAATAAAACAAAGTGCCAAGGGCCCCCAAATAAATCAATTAAGGCTTCCAAATATTTTTAGAATTTTTTATTATCGAAAAGGAGTTCATTTGGCCAAATATCAAATTAGAATGAGTATAAAAATTATAGCAAATGTATAAGGGTATGTTTGGTTTTAATGAACATAATTTTGGCCAACTGGATCTAAAGCCCACATTCAACCCACTTTTTTTTGCTGAGTGTGCTAGGTCTAGCTCACTCATATGAGTTGGGCTGGACCTAGCCTAGTCACTAGTCCAAGCTAGTAATTTGGCTGGGCAGCAGGCAAGCGTGGCTCAATCCATGTGTGTGCGCTGCGCAGAGCAAAAATAATTAAATTATCTTAGAATTATTTTCTTTTTCACAATATTCATACCGAAAGTAAAGAGAAAACGACTTTACATGGCGAAGATTAAAACGACAATGCAGCTAAAGGTGACGGTCCGAGCGCTAACCGAATAATTCTTCTTCTTTCTCCTTCTTTCCTTCTTTTGTTCTATCCGGTCCTCCTCACTCTTCTCTTATTTTTTATTTTATTAATGGGTTCTTATATGTTTTTTCTCCTTTTGTTTTTCTCCGGTTTTTTTTTCTGTCTTTCCTCCCTATTTCTGTCAACTTTTAGGGTATTTATAGGGACCAATCTTATAAATATCATCTTAATAAACTTAACCGGAGATCTAATTCGGTTTAAAGTTTGAATCATAGATTTATTAAATCAAACATTAAAAGCTGAATTTGTTTTAGATTTTTCTATAAAATGATGTTATTTTTATAAAAAGAAATTAAAAATATAAAATCATGCATGTTGGGTATGATTAAATCAACTTTTATAATAATTCATAATTAAAACCCAACTTGAATTATCTTTCAGGTTAATGAATTGTCAGATCACTCCATCAAGATTGATAACTATACTTTAGACATGCTAAGAAAATTCATCATAAATAAGCTCAATCACGGTTTGTTGTTTTTAAATATAGTCCTCCAACAAATTAGAGCTCTTAAATATAGTTCTCCAACAAATTAGAGTTCACATTCAATATTCTACTTGCTTTTTTTTTTTTTTCTGGAAAGACTAAGGTTATATTCTCATCAGTTAAGATTAATAATATATATTTCCTGTCTAATTAAAGATAAAATTCAATTTATTTAAAGTTTATGGGATAAGTAAATTATTATCGTGTTGTAGTATCTTACGCTGACTTCCGAAAACTTTAATTGCAATTTTCCCAGGATGCTTGAAAAATCAGTTTCCAAATATGGTAGAAATATTTATTTGGGTGAAAAAAATATTAAAAGGATAAAATCCTGTCTATTTCTTTATCATTTATTTTGAAGAGAAGAAAACGAAATGTTCTAATTTTTATTCTATCCCCACTAATCTCTTCTTCTTCTTCTTCTTCATATGAAGAGGAAATTGTAGTTAATTAAAAGAATAAAAAAAGTAACCATAATTTAATTTTGAAAACAAACAATAAATATTAGGGGGTGTTTAGTAGTGCGGTAATAGTTGCTTTTTGAAGTGTTTTTTCACTTAAAAATACATAAAAATAATATTTTTTATTTTTTAAAAATTATTTTTAACATCAGTATGCCAAAATAATATGAAAATACCAAAAAATATTAATTTAAAATAAAGAAATATATATATATATATATAAATATTTTTCAAAAATACTTTTAAAAAACAAAAAAAAATAAAGTGGCCGTTAGTTCCCTAACTACTAATTTAATCTAATTATTTTAACAAAATTATCTAGTTAAGGTAAGTTGATTGATAGGTAAGGGACTCAATTAATAAAATCAATAATTGAGGGACTTAACTAAGAAACTATATATAGTTGGATGATGGGTAGTTGAATGTTTTGACCAAAAAAATATTTTTCAAGAAAAAAGGTCAAAGGGTTTTTGATGGAGTTATAGATCGATCCAGGTTTGATCTAATCCATCATTTCTCAAATTTTTCCTTAACCAAACTAGTCTAGGCATCGTGGTCTACTAAGTTCTAGATTGATTTATCAGGTTAGTTCGAGTTTTATAATTAATTAGAGTTATTTATTATTATATTATTATTAATTTTAATACTCAATGCAAATCAAAGTAAAAAAAATAATATCTAATTATTTTTCAAAAGAGGTAAGTTTGATAGTCACATATATTGAGGGTAAAATAAATATTTTTTTTATTTGTTATCATGTCTTATACACTATCATCAAATATAATTTTATCTTTATTTTTTATTTTATATTATATCTTTACCTTTTTTATCTTTTATGGCTTGAAATAATAACCAAACAATAATTATAAAATATTTATAAAATATGGAGATATGATCCTTTAGTCTCCTAACATCAATCAAACACTACTACCATGAATAAAGATAGTTATATAATAGTCACTAGAGGTGACACGACAAAAAGATTGATGTCTTCTCCCAAGTGCAGGAGTGTCGAAGTAATAAATAACCCGGCAAGACCGGGGTCGAACCACAAGGAGGTTAACACAACACGCCCATGTTGTGTTTTTTACATTAAAAATATATATAATGCAATGCAATGAAATTATATGAATATTTTGAAAGTCTTATTATTAACATTTGTTAAAATTAACAAACACTCTAAACTGATAGTTTATAATTTTTAAGCTTTATTATTATTATTATTATTATTATTATTATTATTAGTATTTATGTTACAACTTCATGTTCTAGAATCAAGCAACATATGTATTTCATGAAAGTAAAATTACAACTTTAATAGTACATAATATTAAAAAGAAAACTTGCATTCATTGGTGAAAATTTCTATTAAAAAGTTTTAGATGTGAAAAAACTTAGGAAAAAAAAAAACTTGCAAATTCTATTGTTATTGTGTTGATACGTTGGTCCTCTTCTTCGACTTGTATTAACACCTTCATGTCCTTTCTCGTTCCTATACATTACTCCATGGTGTCCCAAGATCCATATTATTTAAAAAGTTAGCTTGCATGATTTTATTTATTTTTATTTAAAGATCATCGAGATTTCTGCTTCCAAGAGTCCATGATCCATGAATCTCTCCCCGAAGACATCAATTATTTTGTCAATTTATGGGCTTTTGGGGCAATGTTTTGGGTTTGGGGTTTTTAACATCATGAATGGATTTATTATGATTTATATAATGTTTTATCTGTATTTTGAGTTAGAATAGGTTAAAACACGAGCTCTTGGGTAAAAAAAAAAATTAAATTTTGATTTTCAATCATCAAAATAATTAAAATTTAAATAAATTAGATAATGTGTTATCTAATTTTTTAAAAATAAATTTTAAATTAGATAATATATTATTCATTCTAATTACAAAAAAATAATAATTAAGGATTCAATCATGCGGGCTTGCTAGATTCTGACAAAATAGATCAGGCAAGCTAACTTGGCCTTTGTTCTTTTCTTTAAAAAAAAATTAATAATTCTTTTCTTAATAGTTTTTTCTCTAAATGTTTTTAATTTATATTTAAATTAGTACTTTTTCTCTTTTATATTTTGTTTGGAGAGTTTTTTAAATGATAATTATTTTTTAGTTATATATTTAAATTTAAATTTTTTTTCTCATTTATCTATAATTGTTTTTTGTATGGATGAAATTTATTTTTTAAAATAAAATAAAAATTATTTTCAAATAATATTTCTAATAGATGCCTTGCATGATTTTCCCCTCTCTTATTTTATTTAATCAATTTAATTTATGTTTCTATTATTATTTTTGTTTGTTTAAATAAAAAATTATTTTAATAAATAAATTTTATAAATATAATCAGATTAATATCTAGTTTTTTAAAATTAAATAAATTTTGGAGACCGTTGTAGTAGTCATTACGTTACTTCATGTACCTTCAAATTTTTAAATATAAAAAATCTCATACCTCCCGATTTTAATAATTTTAAGATTTTTTTTATTTTAAATTGATCAAAAGGTTAATATAACTGGAGTAAACTAATATACTGATTAATACAAAAAAAAAAAAAAAAGGACCGAATCACGTAAAAGAAGCTAACCACCACGAAACACATGTCAAATCCCACCCAAGATCTAGCCTCTCTCCCAGTGCTACGCAAAGACAGGACTAACAAGACTGCTGGGGAGGCCATGCATTTAATGCACAATGATGGGCCCACCACGTCGCTAGTTCAAGAAGAAGCTCAATGTCAGGGAATTAGAGTGCCGCCAGCCGCCATGAAGAAAATAAAGCTGGAATCCAGACGCCCGAGGAAAGCCGTTGATGGAGGAAAGCCGTTGATGAAGGTATTGTTTATTTCTGTATTTTAAAAATATTTTTGAAAAAAATTAATTTTTTTTATTAATTTTAAATTAATATATTTTTAATATTTTTAAATTATTTTTATGTATTGATGTAAAAAATAACTACAAGCAAGTCCGAAGACACCGAATGAATTGATGGGTGAGGGTCCATCCACACCGCCCCAACAATGAACAGAACAGCTTCCAAGCAACAGCTAGGGCCAGGTCGAGAAGAAGCATAGACTAAAAGATAACGATTATTAAAGACTATTTTTTAATAAATAAACAGTAATGAAGTTTAAGTTGCAATAAAAGAAGTGTTTTTTTAATCACTTTCGCTAAAAAAATTAATTGTAGAAAAATGTTATTGTAAATTAAAAAGGTGTTTCAGAACTACATTGTATCAAAATCTTTTTTTGTTCTTCTAAATAATCTTAAAGGAAAAAACCACTTGTACTATTTTAATGCATTAAATAAAATAATTTTTGGCTGAAGGTTGCT